CCCGACCGACCTCAGTGCCGGTGTCACTAGAGACGAAAGCCGCCGCACCGCCGCCCTGTTTTTTCCCTTTGGCACCCTTCTGAAAACGCATCGGTGTCTTGCCCTTGAGAATTGGACTTCTTGTTCTGGTGTCGGTAGGCTCATCGTCTAGCATCATCGGAGGTGCTTCCATGCGAAAATCAGTCATGGGCGAATGGTCAGTCCTCGTTTCGGAAATGGTTTCCACTTGCTTAAATTGTTGTTAGAATTCAGTGTTAAAGTATGTACTCAGAGAATCAGGTGGTGAGTAGATCATGATCTTAATTTCTGAACACGCAAAAGCGTCTATGTTTTGTGTTTTAGCAGTAAATAATACCGTGCAATATGAACAGTTGCTTAGGAAATACTTAAAGACGTACAGTTTTCTTCAGCCGTTCGTATTGAAGTAGTCAAGAAATCCCGCCTCCCGAGAAGTACATGGGTTTCAGTAGGGATAAGATGGACGGTAAAGATTCCTCATATACAACACAATAATCTATCACACGTGATTAACTACTTATTTCGTTGCATTAAATTATTATGTTTAGTTATTCTTTTATTATTTAATACTATTAGTTTGAGTTGAGTTAGTTTAGTTTATTGAGTTCTATTTATTTTAGGTTAATTCATTTAGTTTAGTTATTTTATTTATCAGTTATTTTAGTTTAGTGTTGCTTGCCTCACCCATATAACCCCGATTACCACCAAAGCCGTATTACACAATCCTGCGGTTTTTTGAACCTCTAGTGTTGATTTTATATTGCTCTTTACCGGATGGAAAGTTCAGTTCCAGTGAAGGTAAGGAAGATGCGAAGTGGTTGGTTTGACGTTCCTTCAAATGTGGGTTAAGTGACTTCGTCACCCTGCGGTTCGTACTCTAACTTACAGAAGGCTAATTTTCAAGTATACAGTTTGGTTTTTTGTAGCAACAGTTTAACTGCATTCAACGCATGCAAACACGCGCCTGTCACAATAAAATCCAAAATTGCCGGTAGCCCTCTGTCATTTTCAACAGACTGCAAAAAATACACCTCTCTGAGTTAGGGTCGGCTTTGTTTTATCCGGTTCCAACGGCTAGGGGCATTGTATGAGTTATTAGTCCAATATCATTTCACGCTTCACTGATAACGACGAAAAATATACGAGAAATGACCGTTTCAGGATAAATTCGCAGTTGTTGACTGCTAGTGCCGTGCAATTTCCCGCCTGAGTTGTGGAACCCCGGTGCAGGATATATGGTCGGCGACGTCAATGAAATTGGGAAGTCCCAGATGCGTGATCACGTTAAAACAATCTTCTAGGCGGAACAGTTTACAGGCTGCCAGTCGATTCACCCAATCGATGTCGAGAAATCACCTGACTAAGTCGTATACTCTACAAAGAGCATAGGCTCGTCGCATGAAACTCTTTTGTCTGCATCGATGCAAGGACAGCCAGGTGAAAACTTAGCCCAGAGAGTATGAACTCGTGGTAAGTGAGTTGGCTTAATTGGTGCTGCAGAAGGGTGGTCGTTCATACTAACCGTATGCAATTTGACCACCGCGCACCAGGGAACCGTAATTCCTGAGAAGGAGGGTTTGCAGTCGGACTGTTAACGATAGGGCCCTGCACAGCATCAGTCTAATTTCTCTATGACCATCGCGTTTCAACAAGAAATCTGATATAAGGCAGCTAAAGATCAAACTCCAAATTTCGTTTTTCTGTGAGGTTGCCTTTTATTAGAAAAAAACAAGAATCCGGTTATCAGTTGCTTTCTAGCCTAAATGCTTCTGCGTTGATTTATCCTTTTCATTCCAGCCAGGGTGACGTGTCCCACGGCCTGCTGAACACAATACGGTGATAATGATTTTTTCGTCTGACGTTTCGAGATCCTTCGCGGATTCATCCTCAGAGACAAAGGCAGGAAGCAGTAGCAGATGCGGGTAGCATATGCACACAGGAGTTTGCAGTATTTATAGGATACGGTCATTACTGTAAACATACAACGACAGTTAGTGATTGAGTCGCTTTCTTCAAAGAACGGCGACTTGCGCTGCATCTAACATCAGTTCTCCTAAGAGGGAGACGACCTGATTCCTGAAGACCAGAGATGGATTCAGACACAGCTGGCTGCCCCGGCGTAAGTCGGTGCCTAGAAGCGCCATCACACGACCTTTACGTGTGTCGCTCCCAGTAATGTCAGCTGTCCTCCAGTCTGGCTTCCGATAGGTGCTCTAGCGCAATTCACGCGTGGCTCATTTGATGAGCACTTAAACCGGACTCACGTCTAAAAAGCACAACCTTGCCCCCCTTACACTATCAGAGATTTTCATCCATACCGGGACCCTTTATAACTTGTGTGTGTGCTAGTTTATCGGAAACTGCGTGGATACCTTTAGTGTAATCAGGTTCATATATGTGGGTACTTTCCCCCAAGTTTAACTAAACTCACGCCTACCTGTGGGGTCTTGTAGTCCAGGTGGTTGGGGCCATGCCTATACTAAAGCTTTCTCATTGATGCCGTTTGGCCGCAGAGTTTTCACAATTGCCTCAAATGCATTGGTCAAATCCACCAAAACTTCCCCATTACTTCTCAACAGATCCATTGACATAACTTACACTAAAAGGGTTCTTTGGAATTCATTCCGTCAAATGGTGTCTGCCAGCTTGTCCTTATGGAACAATGCAAATAACAAATGCCCGTTTTGCCTTATTACCAGTGGTCTGCGGCCAAAAGAGATTGTCGCTATTTAACTGGTAGGCAGTTTGAACAGCATCATAACGCATTAACTCTGAAAATGTTTTTGCACAGCTCTCAACACTGATCTAGGCTTGAAACAATTAGGCATTAACAAGCGGATTTTTAAACTATGCTTAAAAGTGTTGTTAAAATATGCATTAAAGTCGTTGTGCTGCGCATATAAAAGAACGTACTTCATCAGGATTTTCGTCGACAATATGCTCTATCTATCCTCCTGTGCAGTAAAAGTGCTAACGAAGGATATTAGCATGTAAATTTCATCCTTTAAGTGTAATGCGATGACTTTTCGAAGGCTAAACGAAAAGAAGCAACTACGAAAAAAATGAAGCTATCTTGATTATTAATTCCTAGAAAGCTCTGTTTAGTGACTATTAAGTTAAATTTATAGAATAAGGACTTGGAGTTTGCAACATCTTCTTTACAAAGCTTCCACCGAAAATCACTGGATTTACCAAGGGCTGCTCCTTTATATTTAATGCCCCAAGACATTTTAATCATATAATTGGCCAAATAAAGGTAAACACTACCATAACAGAGTTTTTATTGTTCGTATTCCCTGCAAAGTGCATAAACGTTGGACAGATGCATACGTGTTCCTTTCCTTTTCCGGGAAGAAACTACTTCAATATCCGGTGAGAGGAACAGCACTCCAAATAACCAAAAGTCAATCAGTTGACGGAATATATTCAAATGGAGGTTCCCTCGATGTTAATCGTGCCTACTTCAGCCAACCACACCATTGTCCAGAGTTTATGTTGGGAGCGTATGCATATAGTTAGCAGCCATCCAGAAGATGCTGGTTATTCGGTATTATTAGCCCTACCCCCTAATATTCCATCATCTTGTCCTTTTTCGAACTGGCTGAAATTGGGGCAACGATCTAATGTGCACGTCGTCAATTTTTAATTATCATTGCATGCCATTGCAAGCTTGCTTGTCGCAGATCTTTATTACCCAAGCTTTTCTTACCAATAACCCTAGATTTTGCTTTTCCGTCCGCTTACAACTTCCAATTTTCATATTGTAATTGGATTTCAGAGCTTATTGACACTTAAGAGCCAAACAACTTTGTGTGCATTCTTCCTACGCAAATAATAACAAAAGATCTCGAAAACATGGAAATGTTAAGGCGGAAATAATAAAATTCTTCCCGAGAATAGGCTTAATTTCGGATTTACACTTAGATGAGGATCATGTGCACACGTGGTGCTTGGAGTACAAATGGCAGTAGTGGACGAAAATGAGCTTGAAATGGTTTCTGTTATAGTTGCCCCTGCTGCACGGCTTACTCCCACTAGGTGGATCAGTTTCTTCACGCTGACCATTAATACTCCAGACCATAAATAACTGGCCATTCCGGTGCATAAACTCACGTCCTCTGATTGCTCATCAATGAAGTCGGGTAATTCAAGACCTGCACCGTCAGTAAAGACTCCAGATTGGCCTGGGCTTGTTGAACCCATGCGATTGTAGACACGTACTTCAACCTCGTTGGTGCCCTCCGGACCACTAAAATCGTCGTCATCCACATCCATATTTGCAATCCTTCTGTCCTCGCCCACAGCGAACTAAATGAAAAGAAGTACCACAGGAGCGTTCGCCACTTGGGTAATAAACTGGCAACTGCAGGTCAGTCCTTTGACCATGCTGGTATGTAAGAATACTCAGAATGAAATATAAGTTAATCGT